TATCTATGTTATGTGTTTTCATAAAATTTCTAGATACCACATTCATTAGATTCACTTTTATGATAACCTATGTAGTTTTCTGTCTTCCTCACCAGACTTGGAGCTTCATGAAGGTAGGGATGATGTTTGTTTATCCCTGATATTGGGACAATGCAAGCCTTTATACATATTTGCTGAAGGAATGAAAAACTGAATAACTCACACTAACCTTCAAGTCGCTTTGGTTTTTCTGCAAAGAAGAAAGACCCTCCTGGAAGGCTCTGCCCTGGTGGCTCACCAGTGTTCTTTCTGCCTGTCCTACCCAGGTGCATAGATCCTCTAGTTTCTGATGACAAGTATTTTGTTGTTTCTGCAGAGTCTATGTAAAATGCAAAGGAGTTAAGAGACTATTAAAAACTATCAATTTACATATATGTATAACTCCCTGAAATGTAAAACAAAATTATATCTTAAGGATGGAAATGTTGGTAGAAGACTAGAACAGGAAAAGGCACAGAAATCATATTCAGGAAGCTCCCCTTACTTGGGCAGCCTATTGATCTAGGCCATTAGATGGGACAACAAACAGGCAGTTTTAGAAAAGAGTACTTTTAAAGTTTGGGTCTGGAAGCTCCTCTCCTCTGCTTGCTATTACTATCTTTGGAAGTGGAAAATACTGAAAATCTTGATGGTGGTAATGAGAGTAAATTAGAGATTCTCATTAATTTCTTCTCTGGAACCAGATGATTTACCATATGTTAAAGCCAAAATATGGAAAACTAGAATTGGAATGAAAAAGGAATCAAGGACCTGAATAATTCATAACTTAATAGAGCTTATTAATTAAGTAGACATTATAAGCCAAATGCCCACAAGGACACACACAAAAAGAATGATTATATGCCAGGCATGAAACGCTTGACTTAGCTGGGCATGGTGGTGTACACCTGTAATTCTAGCACTCAGGAGGCTGAGGGAGGATTGCTCCAAGTCTGAAACCAGCCTGGGGTACAAAGTGAGCACAAGGCCCGCCTGAACTGCACAGTGAGACCCTGTCTCAAAAAGACAAAAAAAAAAAAAAAAAAAAAAAAAAGTGCTTGACTTGGCTATTTTCTTCTTGCTCAAGAAAAGCCACTGGTTCAGTTCTTGAGGTGGCTATACTGGTATCATAGAAAAAGGCAGGCCCCAGGAGAGAGATGGAATATGTTTCTGTGCCTAAGCCTTTCCCCAGCCTCATTTTAGCTACATGACACTGAAGCACCTAATTGAGCAATTGAGCATGATGTGTTCTCCTGACATCCTTCTAAAACCATTTTCTACCAGTTTCTGCCTTGTGATGGTGTTTTAGTCACCTGCACTTACAAACAGGTGCCCAATTTAGCCCCTCTCTCCCCCTCTTTAGGACAAATAGAAGGCTCTGGAAGAGAACTCCTAAGAGCTCTTCAGCTGTAAAACAGGATCTTCATAGGTTAGGATTGAGTGCAGACTGAATCTGAAAAAAGCAAAGCAAACAAGTTAACACAGAAACATACACATGCATTCAGAGTAAATATAGAGAGAAGCAGAGCATTTCTGACACTAACAAGGTTAATAAACATTGTGGAATTAATTTCGTGCTCAGGGAAAATATTCACATGCAGTCCTTTTTTTTTGCTAAAGCTCAGAGGCCTACTCTGGATCTGGGCTAGATTTTAGGTAACTGAGACCAGTCTACTTCATTAAGTTCCACTTAATATTCATTAAGCATCTCACATAAACACAATGATATGTAAATTATTCAACTGGGCATTATGCATGTTCACATTTGGAAGGTAACTGAAAGCATTTCATTAGGATTTTATCTCAATTTCAATATAGTTCAAACGTCTGACCAGTAGCCGGGGACACATTATACTGACTAACCTAATTTCCTTTCAGACTGACTCAAAAGTGCAATCATATTTTACACAGGGTTTCATAGAGGAATCTCTGAGACAGAATTGCTGGTGATGACAATTCTCACATTCTTTTACTGTATGTCAACTTACTATTCAAATAGCAGAAGAGGGTGAAACACCATTCTGGGTATTCTAAGGTTATGATATTCTTACTAATGTATCTATGCTGAATCTGAATTTGTTATGATAGAAGATACTAGGAAGGTTATCAGAGTTTTTAAAAAGTTGTATTATCCCTGATTCCATACACTGCTTTCCATGACTAAGTACTGGGAACTATACTATGAGAAAGTTGCTAAAAAAATAATTATTTACAAACTATTAATTATTATCATTCTAAAAAAAATGTCCTTGTTAGCAGTTTGAAGATTATCAAGAAATCTTATGTCAACAGCTCCAGACCAAAACTGATTTTCAGAACTATTCTTGGCATGAGTTAGTATCTTGTTGCTGTTTACAGCCCTTCAGAGTGAAGAAAGGCGCTTGCTATTATTTTCCTTTCAAAGACACAGTGAGGGTACAGCCTGATGAAAATGAAAAACACTTGCATATACAATCGCACATGAACACACATATATTCTTACACAAACACAAAACCAAAAACATGGCAAGAAAAACAGCCAGGGGGTTGGGGAGATGGCTCAGTAGAATAAGCACTTCCCTGGTAAGCACAAGGGCCTGAGTACAATCCCCAGTTCCAGAAAAAAAAAGAAAAAGAAAGAAAGAAAGAAAGAAAGAAAGAAAGAAAGAAAGAAAGAAAGAAAGAAAGAAAGAAAAAAACAGCCAGGAAATCTTCCTTTTGGGCCAGAACCATACTGGCCTGAATGATACGAAATTTCGGCTGTACATGGAAGCTGACCAGAAAACCCCAAAACAGAAGATATCCCAAAAGACAAAAGAGCCCAGGTGTTGGTTCAGTCTGACCTTAAGCTGAGCTTTCTGCTGTATTTGTTGAAGGCGGCCCTGCAAGGCATCCCTCTGAGCTGTAATCCAGTCTACAAGGTCCTGGAAGGACTTCTGCAATTCATTCAGGAGCCTCAGCATCTGCCGATTCTGCTGAGGGGACAAGTCCTGTGCATACTCAGAGATAAAGACTTGAATGTCAAAAGCAAGAGCATCCAGCTGAGATTTCCTTTCAGCCATGGGCTGTTTCAAATCCTAAGGTCAGTATGGAAGGAAAAAAAAGAAAAAGAAAATTTTAATTTCCCTTCCCATGAAAAAGCTATTGATTCTAATCAAAGAATCAAGAAAATGAGGCTAACATCCTTTATTTTTATAATTGGCACTGATGATCCTAGGGCCAAATTAGCATTTCTTTTCACTTTTGGCCTTTTCAAATTTATCATAAATAAATTAAGAGTGTTTGCTTCAGCAGTACATATAATAAATACAATTAAGTTTTGTTTGCTAGACCTTGATTTCCAAATGTTGTGAGTTTTCAATTATTTGTGCTAACAGAATTGTATTACTGCTAATCTTTTTTTTTAAGTTTTAGAAATTATAGCATGAATTTTTGGTCTAAGATGTATTTTGTCTCATTGTACTTTCCTAGGTCTAGGTATCTACTTGTATTTGTGCAGCAGAGAATTACTGATACGTTACTACTAAGAAAATATCTAACGGGGCTGGTGAGATGGCTCAGTGGTCTAAAGCACCTACCTAGAACAAACTAAGCTAAGCAAATGGACGCGGTTCAATCCCCCAGCAACACATGCCAGCCAGCCCCGCCCCCTGGTGGGCTGAGCTGGCCACACACACACACACACACACACACAAATAAATTAATTTTTTAAAAAAGAAAATATCTAACATTTGATTTTTAAAGTAAACAAATGCTTTTGCATACTCTTAATCTATGAAATAGTCAGATTTTCTTATAAAATAGTTACTGTTTCCTTAAAGTAGCAAAAACTGTCCAAACAATCAAGTCATCTGTTTTTAGATAACAAAAATCATGTAATTTCCTCATAAACATTTAGTGATCCTCAACTGTTATAAAAAATAATTTTATAATAGTTATTATTATCCAATAAAAACAAATATCTGCGAACATAAAGGTGTAGAACAAACTAGAAGTATTCTCTCCTCCTCTTCACTGAGATGGAAAATCAGACTACAAATGATAAGCATAGATTCTAGTTTTCTAGAACAAAAATAAAACTTATAACTCAAAGGACAAAACATGCTTGGGAATGAGTGGAGAGTTTACTTTATACTGCTGGAGAGAATGACTCAGGCTGTTGACATCTGTTTCATTGTCACATTCTTTGTTGTTCAGAATAACACTGGTATTGCCAATCCAGGCTCTCATATCTTGAAGTTTGCCTTCTAGCTGTGTGTGCTGATTTAATACTGTGGTCTAAAAAATAAACAGCAAGTCAGGTTAGAAAACTCTCCAGGTCTGCCTAAGTTTTAAGAGCTTTTATGAATAAAAATAGGCTATTACCTTTTTTACTTCCATAGCATTCTGGAGATGGAGCAGAGTGGTACTCCAAGTATTACTCACAGAGCTGAGAGACTTCTGAAGATTCTTGGCATCTTTTTCTAGAGCCTTCAACAGCTGAGCAGGGACTTCTTGAGGCTGGCTGACAATAATATCATTTACACACTCCAATTCCTGACTCACCAAAATGGACAGGTCCTGTAGCTCCCTGTCTAATACCTGAGGGGACAGATTGGAGTTATTTTCAAAATTAAAGCCAGCATTTTGCCATCTAGGAATCAGTTGTAAACACATGTCTCTTGCCTCATGATTATACAGAAATTCAGGGCTTAGAAAATGTTTTTATGTATGTTCATCAGTTAAATGACTCTCACAATCATTAATTCATGAGGTCAGCAGGACAGATGTTATAATTCTGGGTTTACAAAAGAGATACTTCCGCAATTAACAATACTTTTTTTTGGTGTGTGTACATGAGCCCACCTAGTTGGAGCCACAACTTGGATTGAGGTCTTCAGATTTTGTGCAGTGTGTATCCTCCAGTACAACTTGCTGCCTTGCTGACAGTGGTATATTTTTCTCTCCCAGGAGCTGATATGCATAATTAGTGTGTTGCAAAATAAGTTAACTAAAATAATAACTCTTCTGTTCTTTACCACAGGAGACAGAACCAAAGAATATGAAGATATCCCCAAAAGCCTTCCTTATCAGCTGATCTATATTCTGGTCTCCAACAGAGAAGCCAGAAATTAACTATGGAGCAGCTTGTTATAACCTCACTTCCCAATCAGTCATCTACCCAAGACCATACTCTGTACATTGAGGGGACTGGTAAACCTGTCTGTCATCATTGTAATTCTTATCCTTTGATAGCTCTGAGTCCTCAACTTCAATAAAACAGCATCTCTTCCTACCTCTCAAGGCGGCTTTTCTATGTCCTCAGGAACCTGACTCTATCAGTTTTCACTTTCTCTCTCCTCTACATTCAAGTTCTCTCCCCATTAAAAAAAAATGTTTTCTTCTCTCAGCTGAAAAACCCATTCAAAACATTCCTTTGGGCCATGCATGGTGGTACACAACTGTAATCCCAGCATTCAGGAGGCTGAAGCAGGAGGATTTCTACAAGAGACCTTGCTGCAAAGCCAGAAGAGAGGAAAGATGGTTTACTTCTCGAATGGACAAGTGTTGGACAGCTGGAGTCAGTCCCCATGGAGATTATCATTAATAATAGATTTCTGGGCCAGCAAGATAACTCAGCAGACTAAGCACCTGCTTTGGCAAGCTCAGGGCCAGGGTTCAATTTTCAGTCCCACGTGCTTTGTCAGCCCCACCGCTGGGGCATGCTGAGCCAGTGACAGAGTCTGGGCATGGTGTTGCACGCCTGTAGCCCCAGCACGGGGGAGGCTGAAAACAGGAGGATCACCATGAGTCTGATCTGTGTAGTGATACACTGTATCAAATACACAAATGAAAAAAGAAAACAAACAAACAGGGGCCGGGGAGATGGCTCAGTGGAATAAGCGCTTGCAAGGTCCTAAATTCAATCCCCGGTTCCGCAAAAAAAAAAAAAAGAAAAAAAAAGAAAAAAGAAAACAAACAAACAAACAAACAAAAAAACCCCAGATTTCTTCTGAGGAATAGTCGAGTTTGTGGAAACTCTGCTTCAGGAAGATGTGAAAAAAAGAAGAGGCTATAGAAAGTTATCTGATTCCAGATAAGACGATGGAAGAGGGCCACCAGGAAACCCTCTCCAGGGAATGGGTAGATCATTCTTCTTCCTGGTCCCAGGCCTCTGCCAATGGCTGGTGAATAAGGAAGGTAAATTATCTGCTCTAAGAAGCAGACATCTAGACATACACATTCATAGGAAAGGAAACAATCAGAAAGTGAAAGTGTGATCGTGCTGGACAAGTAAATGAATGTGTGTGTCTCACCAAGGACTGTTCTGTGCTCTCACAGATAAATGAGATCACGCCAGGAATTCTCTCTACAAGGATTTGGCTTGAATGATGCACAGTTCTATAAATAACACATGTTTGTCTCACTGTCTTTTTTGTATAGTTTATTAAGCATTGATATAATGTTAATATTTTTAGGTTGCCTACTAACCTTTCATCTTTATATAATAAAACCACAGAAACTCAACTCTAAACCTCAAGAAAATAAAAGGCTGTGTATTTAGTAGTAAGAAACAAAAAAAAATTTTTTTACCAAAAATGTACAGATACTGATTTGTGGAGACAAAACATAAAACCATTATAACTCAAGCCAGGAATGGTTTAGAATGCTTGTTATCTCTGTACTCCAGAAGCTAAGGCAGCAGGACTGCTGTGAGTTGGAGGCCAGCCTGGGCTACACAGAGAATTCAAGGCCAGCCGGAATTACATAGGGATATCCTGTCTCAAAAATGCAAACCAAACCAAACAAAATGGTAGCACACACCTGTAATCTCATCACTCACGAGGAGCCTGCAGCAGGATCACTGTTGAGTTTGGGGCCAGTGTGGGCTAAAGTGAGTTCAAGGTCAGTGTGAATTCCAGAGTGAAATCATGTCTCAAAAAGAATAAAACGTGCTTGGGAATAGATATTTACCTCATATCAATAAAGAACAGTCTTAGATTTGTTTTCTGTTGGTGCTTCTAAAAGGTTTTCTTCCTGCAGAGTTTCTATCGTTTTTAGTCTATCTTTTATATCAGAAACTTTCTATATGTTCACATTTGAAAGTAATGACCTAAAAAGCTGATTACATCTATACGCACACTGTAGTTTTCGCTAAGGGTGATGGTGGTGAGCCACGCAACTGGGAAACTGCTCACCGATAACACTAGTTATATCCCTGTAGCCATCAAAGTTGAGGGTAGGGGGACCGCCCTATTGATTTCACCCTGAAATTCTTACCTTTAGTTATGGCTATATGCCTATTCTAAGACACGTTAGATTACCTTCCTCAGAGGATAATCCTTTAGTTTTCTGTTGGAGAGCAGGGCATACACAATTGCTAGGCTATGTAAAATAAACTGGAAGTCTGAGGATTCAATTGCTTTAGAAGCAGACTTTCAACCAATTATAATCATGTTTTCACATTCATGATTATCTCTGCTTTCTGGGGCTAGCAGAAAGGAATGGTTCTGAGGAGTTCTGTGGTATAAATTAGGTTGTTTTTTAGCTTCCGTCAATGCAAGTTTAAGACTGGGCTTTCTCCAGTCTGCTTTCTGATTTCTAAAATTTTACTGTTGCTGCGTATGGTGGTGCATGCCTCTAATCCCAGCTCTTGGGAACTGAGGAAGGAGATTGAGGAGCGTGCCTACAAGGTGAGTTCAAGGCAAGCTTGAATGGCATAGCAAGACCCTGTCTCAAAAAATAAATACATAAATAAAAACTTAATGTTTTCTCCTCTTCTTCTTTGTGAGTCTGTACATTTAAGAATATACATTTTTCCTGATAGCTTACTGAAGCTCTGGGAAAACAGCAGAAATAGATTCATACATTTAATCTATTATTTTACACCCTGAACATATTTTGCTTCAATTTTACAATTTTCTAACCAATGGCTCTGCCTTTGACCTTATATCATCAATCCACCATATAGATAAATGTCTGACCAAAGTTTATTCAAGTTTGTCCATTGCACATCTTGTCTGGTCTGATCAAAGCTAGTCCCATGATACCTAATAAGAGTCTGAGACTGCTTACCCTGGAATGGAGAATTAGGCATCTTTTTTAAAGCCTTGGAAGCTCCAAGAAATACAGGGGCAGCTAACTTGAAGCCAGCAGGCCTGGTGGAAGTCTAGGAACTTACCTTTGCCTGACTCACCAGGTCCTGTAATTCTGCCAGGTTAAGTTCCAAAGGTTGAATTTGTTTGGTCCTCATTTCAATGTCCCGTAACAAAGACAAATAGGACACCAGTTTTTCATCATGTTCTAAACAGAGCTGCCGGTTAAACACATTCTATGGAGTCAAAAAGAAAACTTTCAGTGCAGCATTAGACAACTCATTTTATTAATTTCCTCAGAGTGGAAGTTCATAATTATTAATTAATAAGTATCAGTTTAGCACCATTTCCAAAAGTTTTTTGAGTTCAATTAGGATCATCCCAGTATTTCAAATTAGCATCATGTTAGTGTCTAATTTAAAACTTCTAGGCTTGGGCCACAGAGATAGTTCAGTGGTCTAAGCCCCTGCCCAGGCAAGTATAAGGACCCAGGTTTGACCCCTGGTACCACATGCCATGCCGGCCCCACCCCAGGCGCCAGTAATCCCAGTGCTGAAGAGGCTGAAACAGGAGGATCACTGTGAGTTCGAACTGCATAGTGAGACCCTGTACCAAATGCATTAAAACAAACAAACAAAAAAAAAAAAAAAAAAAAAAAAAACCACAACCAAAAAACCCCAACAAACATCCTCCTAGGCTGAGGATGTAGCTCAGTTGTAATGCACTTCCTAGCAAGCCCTGGGATTAATCATGAATACCCTAAAATACAGACATACTAAAAAACCTGCAAATTTCTCCAGGTGTGGTAGCGCATGCCTGTAATCCTAGCACTTGAGAGGAAGGAGGATCATGGTGAATTTGAAGGAAGCCTGAGCTACATAGTGAATTTAAGGATAGAACTGAACTACATAGAAAGACCCTGACTCAAACAAACAAACAAAACCCTGAAAATTTCAAAAACATATTCAGAATCAGTGAATACCTAATATTCTAATAATTACATATAAACAGATCATGATAAATTTTATCTTAAAGAATTATCTAGTGCTTTACAGTGAATAAATTCATATGCCAATTATCTATCCAGTTAAGAGCTTTAGTGTTAAACTACTTATATTTTTTTAAAAATATAAACATACTCCTAGGAGACTTACTTGAGTTGCTCTCAAGGGTTCCGGATGTACACTTCCACTCTTCTTTCCCTTTCCCTCAGGTGCAGCCATGAATGGAGTTTGCTCACTGAGCTTTTCCTGTGGTTTATTCCCACCCATCGTCACTATAGAGCATGACGTCAGGGGAACTGCCGTTTCTTCATTGGTTTCCGGAACAGTAAGAGTAATGACGACATCCTGTTGCCCTGTACTCTCTTTTCCTGACACATCCTTCTCTGGAAGAAGTGAGACCAAGACTCTGGGAACTTTCTGTGTCACTATGGCTTCAAGGGACCCTGCTTCTAGACCTGTCACTATAGGGCTCCCTTCTCGAAATTTCTCTCCATTTGTTTCCTGAGCTGTTATTTTAGATTTGAGAATTTCACAAAGTTCAGGATCATGTTTGCTCTCCTGATAATGAAGGTCTTTCCTGTCTGATGATTCTAGATAACTGACTTCTTTTGGATCTATTCTATAAACTGCTTTTTCTAATTTAAGAGTGCTTGTTGAATCAAAAGATACTTGTTGGTCTGACTTTTCTTTAGGTTCTTTAGATGGGAAAATCAGATCTTTGGCTTCCTTGGTCTCAGAGGTAATACAGGATCCTTGGTAAAAGTTGATTTCCTGTTTGGTACTTCCTTGGACAATCTTGTCTACTCTTGACATTTGTAATGTATCTGTAATTTGAAGTTTTCCAACTAATTGCTGGTTGTGTGATCCTTCAGTTCTTGGAGAAGAGAATAGCTCACTCTGGATCCCACTAGAAATTTTTTGAGATAAATTTTCTCCTGTTTTAAAAGTTGAGCTGAGACTTACATTTTTTCCTTCCTTTTCACTGATTTGTGTAGAGGTAAAGAATGTTAAAGTATCTGGATTTCTTACAGAAATTCCTTTGGATATCATTTGGGAGAAAAAATCTTCGGTTGTACAAGTATCACAGAGTTCCATATCTTTACCAGCTTCCTCCCCCTTTTCACCTTTGATCATTTCCATAGACAGACTCTTTACATTGGAGTCACACTCATCTCTACCACGAGTTTTCTGGGTCAACTTTTTTTCAGAAAGAACTGTTGGTCTGGATGTGCTGGAACTTTTCTTTACAATCACCTCCTTTTTTTCTCTCTTGCTTTTCTCCCTAGTATTTATTGATTGCTCACTGAAAAATGTGCCGGGTGGTTTGCGATTAGACTCTTGTACTTCTGAAATAATTTCCTCTTGATATTCCATTGCTTCTTCAGCTTCCAGATCTGAAGTAGACTGTGTCATATGAGCGATTACTTCTACTGGTGGCATTACTTTTTCCTGCTCTACATTTGTAGTACTTCCCCTGCTATTTCTAGCCAATGTGAGTTTAATATCAGAAACTTCAGAGTGAGGATGTGACACTGTATCTTGACTTGAGGACTTCCTGTTAATGTCAGTAGGAATTATAACACTCACAGATCCTGTAATATCTGCAGAAGCTTTCCCTTTTTCACCATCCCTGTCCTCCAATTCAGAAATTTTTCTCTTCTCTTTTGCCTGCTTCTCATTGGAAACTTCTCCTTTAAACTTTTCTTGTACAAGTAATGTCTTTTCTCCTTTATCACAACTCATTTTGGCAGTCTGATTATAAGCAATTAACTTCTCCTTTCTTAGAAATTCATCTTTTAATTCACATATTTGAATTCCATCTTGCTCTTTGATAAGAGCTGTGCGATCACCAGATTTCACAGTATCTGCTTGGATCACAGTTGCTAGTTTAGGGCTGATAAATCCTTTCTTAACAGCTTCCATTAGAGTCACTCTCTTATCACTAAATATATCAACAATTCCTCCACTTAACATTTGATGAGATGCAATAATGCTCGCCATGTTCTCATCCACCAATTTCTGTTCCAAAGCTGATGCCAATGTCACTTTTCTTCCTGTGGCTGTATCTATGATTCCACCAGTATTTGCCTGTGCTTCCAAAACCTTCAACGCAGAGATGAAGTCTACCTTTCCTAGATGAATTGCTTCAGACAATGAAAGTACTTTGTCACTCATCTCATCTTTAATGTCAGAGAAGGGAATTACTTCCAGGTATCTCTGTCCAGATTCAATATCAATCTTACATTTCTTTACCAATTCTGAGTATGGAACAATTCTGTAATTCTCAGGATCTACAACCCCAGGCATCATTCTTGAAGATAATATTGCTTTATTAGTTAACAGTTCTTCTTTGTTAGCTTCTGCTAAGGTCAATCTCTGGCTGGAAATGAGATCTACAAAGTTTTCACTAAAGGTCTGAATTTCTTGTATTTCTTTTTTAAAGTCTGGGGCAACAAGATCTAATTTTATGGCTTCAAGGAAAGGAACTATTTCCTTTGTTTCAGGATGAAAAAACTGATGGAGATTTACATTCTCAACTTTTTTGAGTTGTTTGGCTAGATCTTTACCAATCAAGCCATGTTTACAGGCATTATCCACAGACAGTCTTATCCCAGATGTATGGTGAATAATACCTCCATCTATCACTTGCTTAGTTAACAAATGAATGGCCTCCTCTTTTTTCAAAAGACCTCTATCAATGGACTGTACAACTGTTAAAGGGGCTTTGCTGTCAGGGTCCACAAATCCTGTTGTTTCCATTTGTAGACTGATTAATCTCTCTCTAACTGCTTTTTCAGTGCTTTTGCCTTTGGAGGCTTTCTCCAGATTTATAAGCTCTGTCTGATTAGTAACATTTACCAAGCCAAGATTTGAAGCCAGAGTTACTGAAATTCTTTTGCCTCGTTTTAGGTCAACAATTCCACCAGTCACCACCTGCCCCTCTAAAATTTGGCTGGCTGTTTCCTTGTCAAGAAGGCCAATTGCTACTGCATCATTTACAGAGCACAGGGTGTGGGTCCGGGGGTCTAAGACACCACTGATAGCCTTGTCTGTCATGAGGACTTTTTGCAATAATTTCTCATCCATTAGACCTTCATCAATGACTTCCTCAGCTGTCAAAGACTCACAAGTCTGAGAGTCAAAGAAGCCCCGAAACATGTTCAGTTTTCCCATAAGTTTCACAGCAGTGTGGCTGGGCACGATGCCTTGGGCTACTGCTTCATTTAATAAGAGCTTCTGACCTGTGTCTTCGTGAATGATACCTCCATCTAGTAGTTGTGCACATAATATATTCAAAGTAGCATCTTCAAGCAATTCTGAAGACTGACCACACAACAGGGAAGTTTCACTGCCATTATCTTCTGTTTCTACCTGTTCTAACACCCTATTACCATCTGCAATGTTTCGTCCTTCTTGGCTTTGTTTACTACCATCCCTAGCCAAGTGCATTTTATGTAACACCTCTTCATCCAAAGAATGAATATTCCTATCATTTTCTGACTTTAATTTTGATTTTAAACCTGGAGATTTTTCTACCTGAAATTGTGACATTTTGCTTTGGGAATTTATGAGTGGTCTTTCCATTTCATGGGGAGTGTGTTCAACATTAAAAATCTCTGCTTTTTCTTTCTGACTTATAAGAGAAGGTTTCCTGAGAGCTTGCCATTCTTTCTCTGATGTTTCAAAAGAAAAAAGATCTTTGCCAGCGAAGGCCCCTTCTTCAGCAGGTACCACAAGGAGGAATCCTCTGGTGTCATTCTCTCTGGTAGACATTTCTGTTTGGGCTTCCTTTTCATTACCTGACAACTGCCTTTGCAACTCTGACTTGACTTTATTTATAACTTTCAAAGTGTCAAGATTTGCATTAACCACATTTTGTTCTCCTACCAACAGATGCTTCTCAGTATTCTCTACAGAAAAATTTTCTGTTCCTATATCAGTCTTTTCACCTTTTGCTTCAGAGCAGTCTTGCTGACTGGGATGTTCTTTGTTCTGAGAAGAAAACTGGAGTTCACATGGTATCACTGTAAGCGCATCACTAAAAGTTTCTGTGATGTTCTTACTTACTGGTTCTTGCGCTTCTTCATTGGGTCTTTGATGGCTAATTCCAAACATTTCTGGAGGACTTACTTGATAGTCACCTCTGGATGTTAGAGTCTCCATCAGCTCTTGATCTAAAAGCAGCAGCCTCTGTCCATTCTGCACATTAATGTAGCTGTGAGTCATCAGGTGAAACAGCAGCTCCTCATCAAGGCTTGCTGTGCCCTCACTTTGGCCTGTGCTGCATGGTACAGCTGCTGTTCTAGAAGTAATGCTCAAGCTGCATTTGCCTGATAATTGCACGTTGGGCAGCACATCAGGTATACAAATTGATTTTAAGTTATTGGCGAGCTCTTCATCCAAGATACCATTTTCTACTGCCTTTTGCCAGGACCAAATCTCTGTAGTTGCTGGTAGAAACAGAGTCTTAATATGCTGTCGATTACTAAGGATATTATGTACTAGTTCACTAGACACAATTCCTTGTTCAAGGGCATCTATAATTGGGAGGATCTCCCCAGAATCAGGCTGTAACAATCCCATGAATGACCAGAGGGATTCTAGAATCACAAGAGCAATCTTAGGAGCTACTAGATCATTCCTCACTGCTTCATCTATTGTCATGCGCTGTCCAGTGACAGTATCAATGATGCCTCCTGTCTGAAGCTGCCTTATGAAAAGAGCACAGGCCATATCTTGGTCGATCAGATTATGTCTTACAGCTTCTTGAATTGTAAGTCTATGTCCTGTTCTTGGATCTACTATGCCACCAGCAAAAAGCTGAGCTTCCAATAGCCGGACGGTGACTTGCCTATCTATTAACCCTTCCTGAACTGCACGGAAAATGCTAACCTTTTGGCCTGATTTCAAGCTCACCATTCCCCCTGCCAACTGCTTCACAGGTAGTAATCTCAATCCTGATTCCTTATGGATGATACATCTCTGGGTCAGATCCAACAAACTGATTTTCTCAGCCGTGCTGGGGTCTATCAAATTCTTAGATGACCTCAGGTGAGACTCCATCAATGAATGAAGCCAAGTAGAAATGAGGCCTTGATGAAAAGCCTCCTCCAGGTCAATACACTCCTCACTTGGAGAGGGACTGAAACCTCCAGTTGCCAGGTGAGCTTCTAAGACTTTCAGTCCAACTCTCTCACTGATCATTCTTTTTTCAATTGCTTCCACCACAGAAAGAGGGCCTCTGCTTTCAGTATGACTGCTTATTAAGAACAGGGTCTCCTGGAGCTCCAACAGCTGCTGGTACAGCTGCGGATCAATCAGGTTTCTGGCTAGGCCCTCCTCCAAAGAGAGTGTTTCACTGGTCTCAGGTGCAATGAGGCCAGACATGATAACCTGGGACTCCAGAAGCACAAGGCCTGTGTCTTGGTCAATGAGGCCCTTTTGCATGGCTCTGAAGATGGGAAATACCTCCACTGTGCCTAGGTCAATCACTCCAGCAACTGCTCTGCAACCCTGGAGAAAAAAGAAGAAAGAAAAAAGAATCAGAGCCAATGATGAAGCACAACCGCTATAAGGAATCAATCATTCAAAGAACTACAATAAATAAAATTTTGATCACAAGAAAAATGCAAACTGGGATATGTTCTAACACATAGGAAATATTCTATAGCAAGCCTGGCAGTGTTAATGCTAACAATGTTTTTGAAACTGCAGAATGTTTATGAAGACTATAAATTTGGAGATTACTTTTGAGAGATGATACATGGTATTAAGCATATCTAAATAACAAGCACTACAAAGTGGCAAGCAGTGGAAGTGAGAGGCCAGCTATTTCTAAAAGTAAGCCACCACACCACATACACATACCAGTTCTCAAAAAGTCAGAATTCAACCCCATATAACAACTTCTCAGTGTTGCAACCCATGCAGAATGCTCTGGAAGTAGCACTTCATTGCTGATAGCATAACAGGATGGCTCCACAGGATGAGATGAGAGAGTTAAGGAGCCCAAAGGACACAAAATAGCTGGACATCCCAGTAAATGGGCCAGTGAATACTATTTAAGCAACTGTCAGCTGGGATAACCATATTCTTGATGGCCTATACTAGCTTTCCTGAAAGAAATGGCTCTGAGTTAAAATAGTTCAAGATCTTCAGAAGGAACAAGTCAAGGATGGAACAGACTAGGAACCCTTACTTCTTGAACCACTAGCAACTTTTCCTCTGGTCTAGGCAAGAATGGATAGTACAACCACCATTGTGATAGCTACCACTTACAATTAGGTTTTTTGAGGGCTAATATTTAGTCCACATAACAATGCTATGAGAACAACTTGGAATCTTTAATTTGCAGATAAGTAAATGAGGTATAGAAAGTTAAATAATTTGACCAAGGTCACAAAACTCAGGGACATAAACTAAGACAAAAGCCAAGATAAGACTGTAAATCTTGTGCTCTATACTGCTTCTTCTTCATAACTCCATAGAAACAAAGAATCACTTACACAGGAATCAGGTCCTAAGGTCAGTGAATAATGTAAACTTTTTATAATCTCAAAATTATCCTTGTAAATATAAATACTAGAAATAGCTCCTACAATTTCAAACTTTGAAGCCTCTAATAGACATATGGTATTTAGAGTTCATGACATTATCTTTCTTTTCCTTTTTTGCAGTAGTTGGGGTGGGGGTTCAAACCCTAGCATTGTACTCCATTTCCAGCCTTTTTTAAAATTTTGAGATAGGGTCTCACTAAATTGTGAAAGTAAAACTTGAATTTTCAGTCCTTCTGCTTCAGCCCCCCTCATTGCTGGGATTACATGTGCCACTGCATCCAGTTCATCATTTTCTTTAGATGACTTTGTGTGCCCCTCTTTTGTCAGTGTGACTTTCTGGTCAATACTACTTTCTCTGCTAAGTACAGAGTATGTTACTTTCTCAGTTATTTCCCCCCAGTATTGGGATTAAACTCAGGATCTCATGTACACTAAGCAAACACTCTATATTGAGCCATGTCCCCAGCTCTTATTTAACTCTTACAGGGAGAAATAGGCCCCATTAAGGTACATTTTTATCATCCATAACCTGAAGTTCAACAAACACTAGATGAATAAAATATAGATGAATAAATAGTAAGAAATCACTTAAAATAATTTCTCTCAAATGTTAAAAACATGCACCAAGGATTTCAAACTTAATGACTTTATACTATGAGAATGCATAACAGCAAATTAGGCAAGAGTAGAGTTGGCCCACTTTCCTATTTCACTGTATGTGCTTAATGAAATAACTGATAATTGATGAGTAACTGAGAATTCTGACTAATTCCTTTTAGAAAAATCTGTGTAGGACCTACTCAGAAGCAGATAACGTGGTAAAGGGAAGGACTAGGATAAGAAATTCTACTTCCTTGAGATTCATGGGGCCTCAGAAATGCTGACACTGAAAAAAAGCCTGGAGTGTAGCAAAAGAGAAAAGGCCACACTGTTCCTCCCAACACACTCATAACTGGAGAATCAGCAGGCAGCACTGAGCTGGGAAGTAATCCAGAAAAATCACTTACAGTGCAACCGATGGGCATTCAGGAACATTAAAAGCAGAGGGAGAGGAGGAAAGAAAACATAAAAGGCTTCTACTTACCAGAGTTGCAGGCACGCCTTGGGCAGATAAGAGATAGAGCTTTATGGAGCAGCTCAGCTGTATCATACACACAGTGTAAGCTTGGTGTTAGCGTCCAGCATGCGACTGTTTGTTTTTTTGCAAAAAAGAACCCCAAACAGGTCGTCCTCTTTTCCCTTTGTGCATTTGTGCTTAAACTCCAAAGGGTTAGTGAAACTTGTAAGCAAGGATGTCAGTTAATCAGAACAATACTTCACATGAAACACGCACACAGTACAGGGGACACATCATGCTCAATGTAGTGGTGCTCAGCAGCTTGTCTTTCTCTCCCCGCCCCCCCACCCTTTTTAACCTTTCAAAATGAGAACTAGATGTTCTCAGCAAGCAACTGTTAAAACTTTTCACATACTCTTATACAGTGAAGCAAAAAGCCATTCAAAGTGGGTCACCTACATACAGAATGCTCTCCCAGCACATGCTTTTTGAAAATATACCTTCAAGTCAGAGCTGTTCTGTTTTGTAGTTGTTACAGCTCTAGTGTGTACAAATTTATATCCAAGGACAAGAGTCATAGTATATTTTGTTTGAACATCATTTGAGCATTATCTGGGTCAAATTGAATGATGACATGAGCTTAAATTTTGGCCTTCCCACATATACTGGCCACTGCTTCACAACATAGGAAATAAGCAGGCAAACACACATATATATCCCAAAGACACATGTATATAATATGGTAAGTGTACACACACGTAAGTATCTAGAAAGAACTTAGGACAACCAACAGCAACTATGACAACTTTCATATGGTCCAGGACATGAACACAGAGTGGTAACTGGTAAAGATGTCACATGATGGGATGACTATGGGTGAGGGGAACCAGTGTCTCAGTCAGTGAAATTAGTCTACCAGTTTGTTGTGAAACAACATTCCCACCATTTATTGTATGGAGAGAAGACGTTCACAGCTACTTCTTCCCAATATTCACCTCTCTTGGCTACCAGCTTTGGGTGACAATACACAAAGGACTAATCCTATTGCCCTTTGATCAGATATAATAAAATTTATGTTCTTCTTGAATGCTTTTTGCAACAAAATAACAAGACAAAGAAAGTGAGTCATGTCTAAAGACTGTTATACATGCCATCTGGTGGTTTTGACTGACTAACACATCATGGAACCCCAGTAAGGAAACAGGACAAATGGCTGCTAAGGTGAGGTTAAAAATTAAGTCATATTGGTCATTGAAAGCTAGTGATTATGACTCTCAATCAGCACAGCTGCTTTCATACTACTAAAGAAGTACTCTCTCAATACATGGAGACAAAAACTAAAAATACCTTTTGTTCTGTTTGCTGAGCCAACTGGCTCTGAAGATGCTGAAGCTGGTTTGCTGAGCCATCACAGAGGTCATGGTAAGTCTTGTTCAGCGTGTTCAATTGCTCAGATATCTGCTCCTTCTCTTTTGCTGAGAGCCTGGATGACATGTTAAAGTTCCTCAGGAAAAACCATTCTTTAAACTCCTCTACCTCTTCAAAACTGTTACTTCATAGTCTTGAATGGAATGCCTGGCCACTCTTCTGTATTTCCAGATGACACTGCACAGTTCTCAGGCTATCTCAAATCAAGTTGTGATTGCTTGGTCATGCTAATGCTAGGACACCCTTTGCTTACAATTCTGCAGCCTCCTCAATCAAATGCCCTTCTTTCCACCTCAGCCCTATCTACACATAGGACCTGTACACTGCCATCACCTGGCACTATTCTGCCTTTCCTTAGAGTACAACAATCTACTATATTCCACTGAGCCATCTCCCCAGCCCCAACAATCTACTATATGATTACACTTTATCCTCCTTTACTTTTATACTTTTCCTCATTAAAAAGAAAGCATTTTACATTGATAGATTTTAACCAATTTAAAAAATTTCATTTTCCTGTTACTCACCTATTTACCAAATTTTACTATTTAACTATATTTGGTTTTAGAGCTTTTCCAAGAAAAGACACTATTGAGAAAATTAAGGTCGACTGTATATTTGTCACCAAGATGCTTCATTTCCCATGTCTCTCCGGAGTTAACAACCTCTTTATCATTCTATAGTTATGTGACAAAGAACTATGTTGACTCAAATTAGAACTATTCATCAATTCATTGAAATCCTCTAAGCTTTACTTGATTCTTCCATTTGTTCTTTTTTTGAGACAGGGTCTCAAGTGATATAGTTCAGGCTGGTCTCAAACTTGTGGAGATCTTTCTGCCTCAGCCTCCGGAGTGCTAGGATTATAGGCTTGTGCCACTATACCCAGCTCTTTCATTAGTTTTTAATCTATCAGTTCTATTATCATTAGTTTCTTCTCTTTGCAGTCCAGATCCCCTCACATGAGTATACCATCTTAATCAATTCCTTATCATTACCATTGTACTATCTACTCACTAATCTGAAAAAACATTTCAGAGTAATCAGACCTTAGGACCTGTGCACTCTCACATCCATGCTGCTAAATATATCCACTATCGGAGGGGGTGAGAGAACTGTCCACAATGTGTTCACAGATCCTACAGGTTTCCAATTTCATCTGGGTCTCAGTATTGCCTGACAATCCTATTGGGAGTTTGCAACCAATACCTTCTTCCATCAGCCTCAGCACCCCTTAATTTTCATGACATTCCTTTGCCTATTCAAAGAGAACATGTATACCAGTAGACATTACTTCTCTCATTTACTGGCTTCACTCCTAACAAAAGTACCTTATGCACAGCTTGCCTAATTCATCCCTCATACTTCAGAGGAAAAACTGTCTCAATTTCAAACAAGACTGTACTTCCTATCATTCATGAATTTTAACCTCTCCCATATCTCCCTGAACTATTCCTTTTGTTCTTAAGACTCAGGCTATAAATACATATCTCCAATCTTCTTACAAAACGAAATTTTCTTAATTGTATATTTCATTCTTAATAATTTGCTGCATTATCTCTTGTTTCCTGTAGCTAACCTCTGAAATAGTCCAACTTTACTATCACTGGTTCACCTCACCTTTCACTTGCTATTCATCATAATAAATCTGAAACTATCCCCTAACTTTTCACATGAATCCCCCAAAACCTCCAACTTCCTAAATTTAATTCATAGTTTTCAACCTTTCTTGACTTCTGACTACTCCCTCTCTTTAGATCTCTCTTGGATTCAACACTCATCAAAGTTTTCCTTTTCCTTCTCTGAAGCTTCCTTTATAGATCAAAAAACCTTGAAAGTTCTTTCTAAATTAATCTACTCTTATGCTTTTACTAAGCTGACAACTCTATCCCTTTAGACTTCTGTCATTAGTCTAAACTTACATAGACCTGGTCTTGGGATCCCTTTGGGGACTACTTAAGGTATATGGATCATAAATTATCATAGTCACCTAATAGACCCTATGTATTTCTTGTACTCTAATGAATTACAGTTTTTCACTCACAGTGTCTAAAACAAAAGTTACCCTCTTCTCCTTCTACTTATGCTTCGCCTGTGTACCGTATCTTGGTTAAGGGTATCATTATATAACCTGTGGCCTAAGTGTGGGAGGTTTAGGAGTTATATCTGACAATTTTTTTCGTGTCATCAAACCCATAGATTTATTATCCTTAATATCTTTGGCTCCTCTCTTCCAGCCTTCATCATTTCTTCCTCTGTCAGGAAACCTCTTAATTTGGCTCACATTTTCTACTCTTGTCCCATGTCAATCCTGTCTCTGTGTAAATGTTATAAATAAATCAAAACTCCAATCATTTAGAACTCCCCAGAGCCAACAAGGTAAAATGTAAACGCCTCAGCATGAACTCCAAGGCTCTTCCTATTCTGGCTCCTGCTACTTTGAAACCTCCTGTCTGAATTCTCCATGAACCCAGGTCTCAAGATAAAGCATTCTTTCTTTAATACTCACTTATGACCGTGCTTAGCCAAGAAGATCTGTGAAGTTTTAATGGCCTCAGAAATTTGTTCTTTCTTGGTTGTTAGCTCTTCTGTCAGAGCCTATGTAGTAGGGATAAAGAGAAGACTCAAGAATTGAAAAGTGTAATGTTTGAAATAACTATTTTAAAAATCATAGGAAAACACAGCTTAGGTCAGATATTATCAATGGGATATGGTTGATATGAAAAAGGAAGAGTAACAAACTAACTTCAAAGTTTCTCTAAGTGCTTAAAATTATCACTTACTAAGGTAACAGCTGCTTCTGGAAGGCCCACATGTGACCTGTTCCTACACATTATTCTATCTGGTCTTCCACTTACTTGTTGTTCCCAAATAGCCTTTTCAATGTCTGTGGATTCTTTGGTGTGGAATGAGGTAACTTTTCCTTGTGTGTTCTTTGCCAAGGTAGATACCCAACTCAAAAGTTCTTTAACCTTCTCCACATGCTCTTGCTTTTCCTCTTCTACCACTTTCTGGAAGGAGAATAAAGAATCAGCACCCTGGCCAATGTCTCATTAAACTGGGATGACTTTAGAATTCCTAAAAAGAACATGAAAATTACTACCCTTTACATATAGCATATTGCATACATCCATAATTCTTATGCTCACCAGTGGAGAGCCAACAAAGATTATGAGATAAGCATTAACAAAAAGGAAGTCTTTTCATTTACTCAGGAAATATGGTTTGGTTAATGTTTTCAACAGCATTTCATGAGTGGTCTTACAGATGCAAACTTCACTTTGAAAACACAGGTTTTCATAATTATAAAAGAATACAACAAATTCAACCCAATCTGAAATGTATAATATAGGTACTCTTAATCTTATTTCACTATAAGTTTCATACATGTACTTCTAATCTTGTTTCTATGCCACATGGCATATTTGTTGTATAGCTTTTTACTAAAATCATACAGAATATAATATAGTAATACATTATAAATATCTTCCCATGTCAATTCACTTAAACCCATTTCATGATGGGCATGATGGTACATTCCTAAAATCCCAGTACGTCAAGGGCTGAGGAAAGAGGATTGTTGAAAGTTTGAGGCCAGCTTAGACTACCTACATAATGTGTTCAAGGCCAGCCAAGATTCAATGGCAAGACCCTGTATTGACCCCTGCCCCAAATCTATTTCATTGTTCTTAATAATGTCCTAGCATTCCATGGCATGGAATTTGGACGTTTCAATAGTTTAACAAATTATGTTTTACTGATGATCTCTGATCACATTCTTTTCTAAGAAATTTAGACATGGAAGTAGGTATGATGGCACATGTTTATACTCCCAGCACTTGGGAGGCTGAAGCAGGAGGATTGATTTCAATTTGAGGCCAGCCTGGGCTCCATAGTGACTTCAAGGCCAGCTAGAATTGCACCCTGTCTCAAAAAAAGAAAAGAAAAAAGAGAAAAGAAGAGGAGCAGAAAGAAGAAAAAGAGAAAGAGGGGGCAGCAAGAAGAGGAACAGGAAGAGCAAGAAGAAGAGGAAGAAGAGGAGGAGGAAGCAGCAGTATGAACACTATCAGGTATGTTGGTGCATGCTTGTAATCCCAGCATTTAGGAGGCTGAGGCAACAGGCAATAGGATTGCAATGAGTTTAAGACTAACTCAGACTACATAGTGAGACCCTATCTCAAAAAACAAAACTAAAACAAAAACCAAACCAAACCCCCTGCCCTCCAAAAAAAGCCAAAAAGCAGGAGTGCTGGATATAATGTAGTCAACTCTCATTATTCACAGATTCTGTATTTGTAGATTTATCTTCTCACTAAAATTTATTTTTAACTCCAAAAGTAATAGTCTTTATGGTGTTTTATGGTCATGCCAAACAAAGTGCAGAAGGGCAAAACATTTTAGCTGCCCAATGTACATTATGTAGTAGAATAAAGTAACATCCTTGTTACAGTTGTCATACTATATACCAGTATACTTTAATAGTCTATTTAGTTTATTTTTCACATTTTTGTGGATATTTTTGTGATCTTACTATTGTAAAGGACTCTAAGGTGTCATCCAGTGCTCCTTAGCACAAGAAGACTATAACATGCTTCACAAAGAAAAAAGTATTTTTGTTCAGACAGGAGTTACAGTGCTGTTGGCCATGATTTCAGTGTTACTGAACCAATAATATGTATTTTAAAGTGTCTTTAGACAAAAGTGTATATAAAACAAAGTTAGTTACTGATCTTTTGACAAAAATGTGACTAAAAGAAAAGGAAGAACATAATTATTTCTCTAAAACGAATGGTTCTTTTTTTGCTTTGTTTTGTTTTGTTTTTGGTGGAACTAGGGATTGAACTTAGGCCCTTAAGCTTGCCAGGGAAGCACTTATTCCACTGAGCCATCTCCCCAGCCCAAGGAATGGTTCTATATTCAGTAATTTAGCAACTCTGTAAAACAAAATACTGCCAATAATGAAAACCCACTCTTCAAACACATTACATGTTCACAGATGAGCCATAGATGATGATGACAACACTATAGACTGGGGAATCAAGCCCAGCACCTCATGCATGCTAAATTAAGCCCTCTATCACTGAGCTATAACACCAGCTCTAGGATTTTAAATGAACTTTTGAAACGATTCAGGGCCCACTGGGTACTGTGGCACATGCTTGTAATCCCTGCACTCAGGAGGCTGAGGCATGAGATTGAGGCTATCCTGGGCTATACAGTAAGTTCAAGGACAGCCTGAACAGCATAAGGAATCCCTGTCTCAAAATAACATCACCGGGCCAGCCTGATAGCTCAGTGAACTAAAGTGCCTGCTTAGGCAGAGCACAGTGGCTGGGGTTCCATCTTGTGGGATGCGCTGAGACGGTGATTGAAACTGGGCATGGTGGCACACATGTGTAATCTCAGCACTTGGGAGCTGAAAACAGGAGAATCACTATGAGTCTGATCTATGTAGTGAGACCCTGTAGATTTTGTCCTAACTACAGGAAAAAATAAAAATAAAAATAAAAATAAAAAATAACATCACCAAAAAGATGATTCAGGACCCAAATATCCTCACCTCTTCCTCCTCCAGCCGCCGGAGTGCATCGCTGATATATTTCACATGCTGAGTTGTTAAAGTCACCAATGCTGTATAACGAGTCCTCAAATCCATAAACTGCAGTTCAAAATAACAAATTATAAGCCAGTAAACTTCAATAATTAATTTCTAAGATATCACCTGCTCCATAAGAAAGTGAGCCCTAAATCAAACTACAAGGCTTACACAAATGAGTGTCTCTTAAAGGAAGACAGTGGCATATTCCCTTCCCCACCCTTTCACCTCTTGTGTAATGGCATCGGAAGAGGAAAGCATGCGACGGCGTTTGCCAGGGGACTTCTGCTGTGATTCCACAAAGGCTTTATATGTCATCAGTTGCAATTCATAGTCCTGAGAGAGAAAGAAATTCCACTACATTTAGTTAAGAAGGTTACACTTTACATATATCATGCAACAGAACCACAGCATTTATTGGTAGAAAGCACTGTGGTAATCATTCAGACTAGAGATTAAAAACTTGCTTAAAAGGGGTCAGATAGAAAATACTGGACCATACTATATCATAACTACAATTGTAAGTAAATGCAGCTATAAACAATAGGCTAATGAATGTGGCTGTTACAATAAAACTCTACAAAAGGACAATGAAAAAATGAAATTCATATTATATTAATGTGTCACAATATCATAGTCTTCCTTTTGATTTTTTCCCCAATCATTTTTCATAGCCAGTATGCAGGCTAGCATTAGTTTTGGGGGCTTGCCAACTTCTGAATTTACAATTTATGGTTCAGTTTCATCTCATTCATGGTGAAATTGAAACCCCAAGAGAGAAATTAAATTTCTCTAATTAGCTTTGTGGGTGAGTAGCAGAATAACTTGGATTCTCTGTCTTTTAATCCTGCAACAGATGTTTTCTCATCTCCCATGGTATTTTGCCACTTCCTCTGCAACCCTAAGAGTGCTACTGCAGTCCAGGGCTTTTCCTGTTACATGAATGTGGCAAGTGCTCCTTATTCACTCTCACAGCTTCTAGTCTCACCTCCAGTTTACTTCTTATCCTGTTGTAACAAGACCTTTCCCAAAAAACAAAGACAACATTGCTCCTCAGATTAAACAGTTTTCAGGGATGTATAGCAGAGATTACCAAACATTAACATGCTCACATATCATCTGGGGACCTTATTAAAATGTAGCATCTGATTCAGCAGGTCTCAGTCTGCATTTCTTTTTTTTTAAATTTAATTAATTTTATTTATTGTGTGTGTGTGTGGCCAGCTCAGCCCACCAGGGGGCGGCCCTGGCTGGCATGTGGTGCTGGGGCATTGAACCGCGGTCCCTTTGCTTTGCTAAGTTTGTTCTAAGTAGGTGCTTTAGACCACTGAGCCATCTCACCAGCCCTCAGTCTGCATTTCTGACAATTGCCCAAGTGATGCTGATACTATGGCTCAAAGACAACAGCATAGGAATAAGAAAAGGATAAAACCAAGATAGCTGAATAAGGCCATTCATAGGTAAACGCCAACCTTGCTGATCATTTTCCATGGTCGCTGCTTTTCATGTAGCATGTTTCTTCTATTATTACTGTACTGTTACTGTCTTTGGCTCCCATGTGTATGCATGTGTGCGTGTGTTGCTGAGGAGCATGCCCAGGCCACTGTGCCTGATAGGGAAAGCTATATCCTAGGCCACATGTACCATATATTTTATAGGTACACCAGAATTCTTGCTATTTCCTTACATAATCATATATTTTTATTCCTCCTGTGCCTTTAACTACAGAATGTCCTATTCCTCTTATCTACTTAGAAAGCTCTACATAGGAGAAAACAAAAATAAAAACATGGAGTTCTTAAAGAAACATGAAAGAACAGCAGTTGTAATAAAACATTAATAACAACAACTGTTTCTATGTGCTGAGTGTATTTTCAGTTTTAGGTACTGTCCTATGTATACATTATCCCATTTAATGTATGCCTTCATTTGTTGAACTACCATAGGTCCTCCCATTGTTTTGGGTATGATACCGTACATACAGTGAACAAGTCAGAAAAAAATCTTATTCTCCTAGAACTTAGGATACTAGTAAAAAAAAAAAATTAAAAAAAAAATATATAATCAGTAGATATATAATGATGTTAAATTGTCTTTCTTTAAAGTTGATGTCAGAGAAATAGAAAGGGGCCACATTATATATGGCATTACAAATGACAAAGATTTGAAATTTTATTATGAATGATATGAAATTATCAGACCATTTTAAATAAGAAATGCTGTGACCCAACTTACCATATTTCATCTGTTTACAAGATGTACATTTTATTCACATTTCAGTATCTCTAAAATTTGACTATATCTTTTTAAATTTTTTTCCAGCAGCTAGCTAAAATTTTATTTTGAGACAGGGTCCTGCTGCCCAGGCCAGCTTTAAGTCCCAGCCTCATCAGTAGCTGGGATGACAGATGGTCCCTTATACCATGCCAAGACTTTTTTCTTTTCATTTCTGAGATAGGGTCTCCTATGCAGTTCATGGTGGCCTGGACTTACTCTGTAGACCAGGCTGGCTTTGAAGCTGCAGCAATCCTTCTGCATTAGCCTCCCAAGTAGCTGGGATTACAGGCATGTGCCACCATTCCTTGACAATGAAAGGTTTTTTTTTCAATAAAAATAAAATAAAAATAGTTTATATTCAAATACCTGGGTTTCTCACTTATCTTGAAGGGTGAGATGTGCTTGGATTCTTTCCTGGCTCCATCGTGGGAGGCCAGCCCTAGGTGTTCCCAGTAAGGACAACCTGGACCTAGGAAGTCAGAACTACCCAGTTCGTCCTGCTCCTTTGGCCTCAGCACTTCCTCTTCCATGCACTAATTATTTTCTAAGTGCTGCCCTGTGCCTAGCATTATTCTAGACACAATGAGTAGAATAAAATCTTTGCCTTCATGAAACTTCATGGAACTCATGAAACAAATGCCTAATACTTGGCCCCAGTTTTGGGGTGAGCAGAACCCTGTAATCTCAGCATTCTAGGAGTCTGAATCAGGATGATCTCAAACTCAAGTTCCAGTGGGGCAATTTAGAAATACCTGTCTCAAAATAAAACATAGGCATGGGAAGGTAGCTCAGCACAAAGGCTCTGTGTTTAGTCCCTAGTATCACAAAGAAAAGGAAGAGGAAGGATGACAAGGAGAGGTGGCAGCATCAGAGACAGGGAAGAAAACTTCACTATCTTATAATCAATGGCATTTCATATAATTGGCAGTTGGCCCTTATTTCGGTACGCAAAACATATAACTTATAACTAATAAGTTATATCTGTGACAGAAGATATGTTCAAAAAAATAAGTCCAGCTCCCATGTGAGAAAACAGCCTGAGGTGGCAGGAACAGAAACAAGATACTGGATTAGCAGTACTATAGTAGTCAAAGGAAGACTTCTCACTTGGATGTGAATTAGGGAAAGAGAGGAGTTATAACCAGAAGGATTCAGATTCAGACACAACAGAGAGCTTATGGACTATACATGAAGTTTAAGGAAAAGAGAAGGGTTAAGAATGACTCTTGGGGTTTTTGCTTCACCATCCACGGAAACTAAAGATACTTTCCCGAGATAGGCAAGACAAGTGAAAAGTGCATCTGGGAATAAAGTACAAAGGTTCTATTTTTAAATGACAAATTTGAAAAGATTGGTCATCCAAATGGAGGCTCCTGAAATCACAGCCAGTGTCTGAGCATTCTCAAACAAGGGGTCATGGAAAGTACACATGTACTCAGAGGATGGGACCAGCCTCTGAAAGAATTCTATTTAGTTTGCCCAAAACAAGAATATATAGTTGTGATGCAGACTTTTTTTTAAGCTTGAGGTAATTTATGGGTGGTACACTTACCTTTACAATGGTAGAGTACTGCTGGGAAAATCTTTGACACTGGTCCAGTTTTGTCTGATTTCTCTCAATTTCAGCAAACAGATCCTAGGAAAAAAAGTATCAAACATCATCATCAGTGAAACAGCTGAGTATTTATTACGTTCCAAGGCAGCAGTTAAACTAACTTCAGCTGCATTAGAATCACTAGAAAGGCTGGTTAAAACACAGGTTGCTGGGCCCCAACCTCAATTTCTGATTCAGTAAGTCTCCGGCGAGGCCCAAGCTTCTGTTCTGGGCTCCACACATTTTTTGTTTTTAAAACTGAGACAAAGTCTTATTAAGGACAGTAGCTCAGGCTATTCGTGAAGTCATTATACAGCCCAAGCTGGTAATGAATCTCAGCTTCCCAACTTGCTGCGATAAGAGGCATGTGCTACCATGCCTGGTAGCTCCACACTTTGAGAACCACTGTTCCTAGCATTTTGTATACATCCATTTCATTTAATCCTAATAACAGAAACTTCATAAGGTAGTTGAATGACTAATAAACTGTGTTCCTTTTATGGATAATGAAATAGAATACTGAGAGGTAAGAAATGTATTCAATTGGCTGGGGAGATAGCTCAGTAGAATAAGTGCTTGCCTGGCAAGTTCAAGGTCCTGAGTTCAATTCCCAGTACCACAAAAAAAAAAAAAAAAAAAAAAAAAAAAAAGAAAAATACATTCAAGGTTTCACAGCTGGAAAGTAGTGAGCCAAAATTGGAGTTGGGGCACTATAATCTTAAGCACGTGACACATAACAAAATACCAAGCAAAAAATGCTTTGAATGAAATAATTTTTTTACACTCATAACTTTTCCTAGGGTTTCAAAATTCCATAATCTGGAAAATAAGATTAAAAAACAGCCAGGCTTGGTGGTGCATGTCTGTAATCCTAGCATTGTAAGAGACTAGGGCAGGAAGAATGAAAGTTCGAGTTCAACCTGAGCAATTTTGTGACTTAGCAACATTAAATATTTATTAAATATTTAATATTAAAATTTAAAACATTTTTTATGGGGCCAGGGGCATCATTCAGTTTGGAGGCCCTAGGTGCAATCCCCAGTACTGCCAAAAAGAGAAGCTACAAGATTTATTTATCCAACTAATGATTTCAATATATAGTTACAGAAACTCAGGATGAAAGAGACCTATCAGGTTCTTTTGGCCTAAATGTAAAACAAGCACCTTTATAACATCTATTTGAACCCTTCTAATAAGCAGTGATTTAGAATGTCATGTCCTTCAGTGGTCCTCTAACTTTAAATGGCTAGAACATCACCTTCTTCCTCTATGCCCATAGTGCTAAGCCATACCCACCGTCTGCTGGCTCAGCTGCTCTGACAGCACTCTGCTATCCTCTGCCTGGCCTGGCTTCATCATTTCCTGTTGGGCAGTGGTTTCTTCAATCCACTTGATCAGAGTTCCATGGCAGGCTCTGTAATCTCCCAGAACTTCTTGGATACTTTCTAGCTCTGATTGGCTAGAGGAGCAAAGAGAAACTAATATCAGACATCTTATTATAATGCAACACAGGAAATGAGGCAATTCCCTCCTTTGTCTGGGCCACCACTTGGCTTGATCACAGAATGCAACTTTAGCTCTGGAAATAAGTGGTGCAAGACTGAGTGATACTTAAGCATGTACTCAGTGCACTAAAAGCGAGTAGAAACCAGTTGGAACGGACTAGCCATGGAAAGCCTGTCATGGCTTGGCATCCCGTGATAATCCCTGTCAACTATTTCACCTAGATTGCCAAAAAGGTGGTACTGTCAGTACACATGTATGTACTCATGAGAAACTGTACGATTACAACAGCTATGCTTCATGAATCACTGTAATTTCTTGGGGCAGAGAGTGGACAAAGTGAAAAAACAGTAGTTGCTATTTACTTGTATTATCTAGTCAACCTTGGGATGAGTTCATAAACCCTCTGCATATTTCTCTACCCAGCTTAGCCTCAGAACAGTATAGTTTTCCACCATGTTTACTCAATCTATCATCAGAAAGAACCTCAAGTAACAAAAATAAAAACCACCAATTAGCAAATGCAATGGAAACAAGAAATTCTGCAAGACTGCAGTATGAAAATGGCTCTTCTAAAAAGGATACAAAGGAAAGATCATTTTGTATTTATATATACAAAATAGGACAGGTTTACAGCTACTTTCGCTTAATTCAATGAGAAGAAAGAGGCGTACTAACAGTGTTTGGACAGAATATCCTGTCTGCTTCTTGTGCTATGGATAACCACTAAGAAGGTAACAATGTACAATGTATTGATTATCAAAACTGTCCTATTAATCAGCTGTGAAACTGTCAATAAAAAATAAATAAATTAGAAAACAAAAAACAAAAAACAAAAAACAAAA